GCAGCCCAGCTCCAGGTTGAGCTGTTGTTCAGCATCTTAGCTGTAGAGGGCAGTGTCACTGGCCCTCATATGTGGGATCCGAACTGGGGTCCTCTGACGCCCCAAGGCAGCTCTTAACCAACGCGCCACTCGGCCGGCCCTAGCCTATTCCTTTTTAATGAAAATGAACAGATTAATACCTTGACACAATTCTATATGTTTAAGGTTTGGCCACATAAATAACAAACAATTCAGTTATATGTATACTACTGAGCACTTATTGACTTGTACTTTTAATTCTTCATGCATTCAGACCAGGGACAAATACGTGGTGAGATTATCCTGGGCCTGGTTGTTGTACGGCCTAGCATTAGCGATAGTAGATAATTATATAATTAATGCTTGGTTTGATGTTTTTTTCAAGCCTATGGAAAGTTTTTGGTGATCTCTGACATACCTCCCTACAATCTAACCCTACATTTGGTAGGAATTACCCCACCTTCCTTCCTTACTCCCTCCTAGTTAGGCCATAGGAATGGGACTGTCTTATCCAACCAAGGTATGCCCACATTGGGATTTCAGCCTTAGCAATAGGAAAAGACCAAAGCTTCAGGAAACCCCAGGAAGTAAGATCCTATATGAGACAGAAATCACCTACATATTTCATTGCCTAGTAACTCATAGAACAAATGTTTCTGCCTCTAATATGAACCCTTAGCCCCTAGTACACTTGAGTTTAGATCTCATCTTTGTGTAGTGCTTTAGGCACTAACCCTGAGAGATACCCCAGCAGAGCCTGCATCTGCCTCCTACTGCATGGAGCAAAGCTTGATAGGAGGATCCTGTTTGCTTTCTGCGCTGCTCCTGGTTTCTGCTTCCAGTCCTTTTACAACGGCTCTGTGCCTATCCCTTTTCTCCTTCAACAACTTCTGTAATAAACATTCATCACACACACACACATACACACACACACACACACACACCACACATACACACCACATACACACACACGCGCACACACACACACACACACACACACACACACAATATGTAAGTCACTATACTTTTATAGTAAGTACCAGCTGAGTGGGGAGTAGTCTAGATAATCTAAAAATCATGACATTTTTCTAATCAGTATGTTACAGAATTTATCAGATTCAGACAGACTGGCAGACTCAAATCCCAACTCAAATTTGTCCTTTCTGGTCATCTAATTGTAAACCCAAACAATGCCCCTAAAGAGACAAGATACTAGGTGAGAGAAGCTGAGGTCTAATTCATTCTTAGTGAGCCAGTAGCCCTTTAGAGCAATGCTAATAATATGTCTATTATATTAGGACTGTGAAAGACAGTGCTTGGAGTTAACAATATCACCCATCACTCCCACGTCTAGAATTCACTGGACACGATGTGAAGAAACCGAAAGGGTACAAGGTGGCTAGGGAAAATAGAAGCAGATATAGACAGGTACTGGGGAAATGATTTCAGGCTATATAGCTTTGGTCTTTCTCTTAACCTTTCTCCATTAACCCATTTTAAAACTTGATGCGCTCTCAGTGGCCAAGGGCATGACAACATTCCCAGATCTCATCTTCAGCAGGGCTAGAATAATTAGCAAGGGATCATGTTTAAAGAATGCACCTCTCTTCCCTAGATAGCATGAGCTAGAAAGTGAGGGTGAGTAGCAACTTGCACTGAGAAAGAGTAGACATTAAGGTAGAACCAATACCCCAACAAAGTTTCTTCCCCCCACTTCCCTTCTCTTTTCCCATCCCCTGTGGTCTCCTTCCAAATTTTTCTTCCCCTTTTCTTTCTTTCTTGCAAGAATCCTCTTTTCAGCCCTTCAGTTTTTCCTTTCTAGTTGGGTTCTTTTCTCTTTTCCCTTTCTTTCACATTTATTCTTTTTATCTTTGGACTCTTCTGTTTTCCTTACTCTGTTTCTTCATTTTGTAATTCTTCCTCCCTCTTTATTAGCTCTGACCTTGTGTTTCCTTTTTCTCCCTTCACATTTTTCATTTCTTCCCCTCCTGTCCTTTATTATTGCAAGCACGTTGCTAGAAGGGCCTGTCATTCCCTCGTTTTCTAATTTAACATTTCAGCCTCTTCCAAATTTAACATTGAGAGAGTGGTTTCCCCCTTCACTTCTCTTCATCTACCCAGATCCATCCTCTTCCGTAATTGTTATTCGAGAATTTAGTATTTTACAATATTGTCTGATTAAAGCTTGTTTAGAAGCAGCCAGGTGACTAGGGATTTTTAAAAATATACTGTAAAGAACCATTCACAAGCAAAGTAGTATATGTGTAAATAATACAGAGTTGACAGTATATAAGTATGTTGTAAATATGTCAAGCTCTTCTGTTCTGTGCCTCATCTCTTAGATTAGTGGAACAAGAATGCCTGCACACAGCCGCAGGAATCCAGTTTCCATGGAAACCAAAAGCCTGCCTGCTCAGCAAGTTGAAAATGAAGGAGTGGCTCCAAATAAAAGAAAAATAACTTAAGGACTCTACCATGGCATAGGAAGAAAACCAGTTATAACAACATTCAATTCAGAAAAGTTTGAGGGGAAATCGGCCCAGAAGATCAGCAGACAAGATGAACGTTTTTCTTTTAGTTTTCAAGCATTCTTAGAGTGCCTTGAAAAAACATATTGGCTATGTGAAGGAATGTTCGAACTAAAATGGATTGCTATATTCTTAACTCTTGATGTTGAAGGAAAATCTACATACGTTTAATGTTATCATGGCAGGGAAATATATAGAAAAGAAAATTATTTTTATAGTAGAACTTTTCCAAAAATTGTAAATAGGAAAATATTTTTTTTTCAAGAGCAATATTTACCATTGTGTATTATGTTAATAATTTGAGTTATGTCGCCAGTCTCTGAGATTGGCTCAAAAGGTTAAATCTTGCCACTGTCAGAGATAATTTTGAGCAATCTGTAAACCTTGTTTCTGACCCATTGTGACAGTTTTTTTATATAGTATTTTCAAATGATGATTGTTGCAGGTTAATAAAATTAATACCTTTAAACACTTGGCAAAATTCTATTGCAGAAAGCAAAATTAAAAATCAAAAGCTTCCTGCTACCAAAAAGGCACAAGTTAACAATTTCTTGTTGGGCTGCCATCAGTTTGTTTTTAAAAAAAACACAAAGGAAACCTTTTTGTGTTACAGGTTTGGTGGCGAAGGCCTGTATGTATCTCTTGGCACGAATCCCAGTTGAATGTTGACATACACTACTGAAAACAAAGAGATGAGCATGTTTTCGTCCAGAAAAAACTATTTCAACTGATAAGACTAATATGTGGTAAAACATAAGCTATTTTTTCTTCGTCTATACTGATTAAATTTCCCAGGACTACTTAGATGAATTTGGGAAAGGGCATGGTCAGCTGATGTTAACTGTAGCCAATTTGGACTTAAGAGGGAATGGACTTAATTTTTGTATCCTTGTTCTTTAGTGTCCACTAAAGTGTTCTGAAATACCTGCGTCATCTATAAAATATAAGTTTTGTAACCCAAGGCAATATTAGCTTTTTGGGGGGATATTTTTTTTAATGTGTTTTCCATTAATATAAGAAATTTACATTAACGTAAGAAATCTAGAGTCTAGGTTCCTGGAAATCTTAACTATTATAAGTAACAGTTGAATAGTTTTATTCTCAACTACCAAGTTTTGTTTTGATGTTTTTGGTCAGTTATAAAATATTTTTTAATTAATGAGGAATTATAGTAAAATTGTTTTGCATATTTTAATATATAATTTCCTCATCCTGCCATTTCCTTTTTAAAACATTGAGTTGTTTTTTTTAATAGACTTGATTTTTTTTTTTAACTTTGTCACATATTCTCTTGTCCCAGAAATACTTTAGTTGTGAGTCATTTGGCAGTGAAACCAGGGAGAGTCAGGGATTCCCTTGGAAGTTGCTCTTTTAAAAAAGCTAGACAATGATTTCTTCAGACTTCTGAGTGCTAGAAAGACTTCGCTTTCATTTTTTAATATTACTTTTTACTTAGTAAAATGTGTGGTCTTACAAGTGATTCTTTTGAAATTATCTTAGCTATACATTTGAGTAACCCTGATAATATATGTGAAGCTATTCTCTCCACTTGTGCTTAACTAAGCCTTTTTTAAAATATGTATTTGATCATGTCTTGTGTTCTTTTTTCTTGATTTTTCATACTAAGAGCATGTAAGCAACAAAGACAATACGAGCAAAGATTTTTTTTTTCTTTTTATTTTTATTTTTTTTAAGAGAAAACAGACAAGTGTTGGCAAGGATGTGATGGACCTGCCCACTTATATCTCCATGGTGAAGGTGTAATTTGTACATACCTCTTGGAAAACATTTTGTAAATGTTTAAGTGCATCTGTGTGCCACACAATCCAATGTAGGTCTCCACTGTTACACTCTGATAAAGTTCATTTTTCACATATCATGATATTTGTTTATTTGACTACTATCTTCTTGAATAGACCACACTCTGCAAGGGCATGGGGCATATTTGTTTTGTTCACCATTATGTAACAAACGTATTTTCTGTGATGTAGTCGCTTAGTAGATATAAGTTGGATATGTAAATAAGTGAATATGTAGATAATAAGGGTAGTTCTTTTTTCCCCCAGAAATTCACATTCTAGTGAAGGGCACAACACCAACACTGATCTATGTGAATAAGTGCTCTGATAAAGTAATATAAGAAAGTCATCTAACCTGGACCTAATAATTAAGGCAGGTTTTCTAAGATAAAGCTGGAGCTGAGTCTTTTAAAAATGAGTAGAAGTTATAAGGGAAGATTGAAAGAACTTCCACACAGAAAGAAAGCAGTGTATGCAGAGGCGAAGGATGGCCGAACTGGGCTAAGGACCTTGAAGATAAGAGAAAAAGCTATAGGACAAGGACAAGCATGCCATGCTATGACATTTGAATTTTGTCCTGTGCAGTGTGAGAACGAGTAGTGAATTTTAATACAAATAAATAATACCAGTTATGTGCTTGAAAAGCTCTTGTTGGCATTAGTCTAAAGAATGGAATGGAGCTGGGAAAGACTGTAAGGAAGGAAAAATGTTGGACAACTGTGTTGTAGTAATTTAAAATGGTAAAGGCCCTAAATTAAAGCAATAAGGGTCGGGCTCAAGTGTTAATAGAAAAAAAACTCAGTGACACTGTCGGTAGGGAGGGTGAAGCATGGCTTCCAGGTTCCTCATTTGGAATGCTGGGTAAATGATGGTTTTATGCATTTAGCAAGTAGGAATGTAGAATGGGAATAAATTCAATAAAATTGTTCATTTCCTTGGATCATTTCTATTCTTTGGATTCTGGGTTCACACGCTATATTGGTTATATATTGCTACATAATAAATCTTACACCCAAAACTTAGCTAGTTAAAACAAGAAACATTTATCTCAGTTTATTTAGGTCAGGAGTCTGGATGCAGCTCAGCTAGTTGCCTCTGGCTCAAGGTCTCTAATAAAGTCGCAGTCAAGCCATTAGCTGGGGCTGCAGCATCTGCTTCCAAAAATGCTCACTCTCGGTGGTGGTGCTCTAGTCTTTCACTGGTTGTTGACAGGAAGCCCCACCTTACCTGCACCTCTTCACAGGTCTGCTTGAATGCCCTGACAGCCGCTGGCTTACCCCCGAGTGAGCAATCCAAGAGCAAGGAAGAAGCCACAATATCTTATAGCCTAGTCTTGGAAGCCAAGCACCATCTTCTGCCATGTTCTTGTTAGAAATGACTTACTAAGTCTACGCTCTTAAGCTCCATCTCTTGAAGCAAGGAGTATAAAAAGAATTAGTGAACATATATTTAAGCCATCACAAATGCCATGAGCATTTTAGGGATATTGAAGAATTAGGTTTAGGGTGGAAAGAAAAAAAAGGATGATTTTTTTTAAAATGTCTTATTACCAGCATGTTAAATCTGAGATAAAGATAGTTGATGTCAAAGATAGTTGATAATTTGAGTTTTGAATGCAAGCCTGATCTCATCAATACAGATTTGGGAATCTGTATATATGATGTTCGAAATCAGAGAAAAGGATAAGATGACAGCAGAAATGAGCAGAATGAAGAAAGGGCCATAAATATAGAGAGCATCAGGAAAAACCATAGAACTTCAGTAAAAAAAGAAGTTTCATTGAAGTGGCTCGTATGAAAGTCAGATTTATAAACCTTAGTAAATAAGTACAAAGTGAGGTAGAAACAAATTCTTCATTGCCAGTTGATCAGCAAAACTTGGAAATAATTTCACCATTTGGTTTCTGTTTAGCAGTTGCAAAGGGAGTTGACTTATTCATTTCCAGTTCTACTTGGATTCTGGGTTTGGACACCGTGAACACGTTAGAGACAAGGAGGCATGAGTTTGGGGTAGAGAGGGAAGAGAACACTTTTTCTTTGTCATATTTTATTACCAACATGCTAAATCTGAAGTTTCTGATGGGCATGCAGGTAAAGATATTAAGATGTTTGTTGTGTGTTAATAGGTATGTGATACTTTTTAATCAAACCTTAGAATATTTGATTTCTTGAGTTTCTCTTTGAGATGGTGAAATAAAGGGGATGCATTTCATTGATCCTTTCATCTTACCGTGTTCCCTTGGCTAATGACCAGACTTCTTATCAAGGTATATAAGGGAGATACATAAGCATCTGTCTGGGGTTTGGCTCTGACCTGCTGAGCAAAACTTACCGAAAGAGTCGAGACCCAGGTGCATGTTTCTAGGATGGGTCTCTATCTCATCAAGTAGGAGCATTCAAACAGTCAAGAGTTCACCTTGACATGTGTTGGCTTTCACTATATGAGCTACTGTTAGTAATCAAGCAAGGAACTGCAAAAGGGTTTCTTATTTCTGTACATTCATGGTATAACCTGGTTAATTCTATAAGGAATGGGGGGGAGGGTTGGTTAGTGTAAATTGTAGTTTTGAAAGTCAAGAAACCTAGATTCTGTGGTTGGTTGAATTCCTGCTTCCCCTTTCTTGAGAATATGCATTTCTTAGAGGGGAAAAGAAAATCTTTTCTGCACTCCCTAGCCAGGGTTTTGCCTACCCAGAAAATATACAGCACAGGAGAGTATGTGCGTGTTTATCCTGAGAGCCACACTGCAGTAAGGCCTCAGTGATACCGTGGACTTCAGGTCTCTTCCAAGCACCACATTCATGCTGCTGCACCCAGGCTTTCCCATCACACAAATTAGCCAGTCTTGCGCCTGCCTGCATGCTTAACGCACGTAAAGCTACATCTGGTTGGATTTATTACCACCTATCAAAACCGTGCGTGTCCTCTGTGGAACTAATAATGCATTTTTGAGTATATTGGGTATAATACATTTTACCAATCTCTTGGGATTTAAAGATAAATAAGATTGGTTTCTGCCTTAAGGGTATTTCCTAATATAGTTGGGGAGATAGATATGCACAATTAGCTATAATACAGGGCAGAATATTCAAGCGGCACAATAGTGCATAGGAATAAGAAAAAAAGATGCTTGGAAGTAAGAGAAACTCATGGTAGAAATGACCTTTAAGCTGTGTTTGAAAGACAAGTAAAATATTAATGTGAACAGAAAGGAGGCAGAGCATTACAGCACGAGGGAAAGTCTCATGAAAAGTGCTGCTTTTAGGAAATAGCAAATATGTTCATGTAACAACCATGGGGGTAAAACGTGATAAACGGGAGATGAAGAGGTAAGTTAGAGTTTGATAGTGGAAGGTTTAACTGTTATTCCCAGATAGATTGATTCTGAAAGCAATAAGGGGACATTGAAGGCTTTTTGAGCAAGATGACATCAATTTCAGGAAATTTACAATATAGAGGATTACTTACAGAGGAGAAATACTTATGACAAAGAGGTATTAACTACAAAAGGCACGCAGTTGGGAAAGATGTAGATTGGAAAGCCATTTTAAGAGTTAGCAGCTCTCAGAGATAACTCTACCCCCAAAATGAATGTTTACCTCATACAACACTGAGTCATAACTAGGTAATAGACATTAGGTGTTGGGAATACAAAGATTAAAGGTCATGGCACATGAAACAGTATGTGTGTGTGGAATTAAGAAGTGAGTGGTTTCAAAGACAGCTGAAGTTTTTAACCTGGGTGCTGCCACCAACTTAGATGAAAATATTAGAGGAAAACATTAAAGGATGGGATATAAAGACAACTAGCTATGCTTTCAACCAAATGTCAGCAGCACAACTAAGTGATGTCCTATAGAACCTATAGACTGAAAATGTGGGTCTGCAACTTAGGGGAGATAAATATTACAGACAGGAAGGTTGGGAGCCCACCTATGGGCTGATACACCAGAAAATTAGGGCTAGTATATTTGGGACCAAGTTGGCCTTTTTTTGTTCTTTTTTTTTCGGTTCCTCCTCTTCCCCCTTGTTTGGGCCAGGGGGATGGGAGTTGGTTACATACCAGATTAAATGAGCAAATAAATACATTGAGAATAATGGGAAAGGGGAAGGCAAGAATATTAGGTTGCAAGTACTGTATTAGAGTGAACTCATGGTACGTAATGTATATGTAACCTATCCATAGATGAAGAAACAGATACAATTCTCTCTATATATACAAACACTTATTTTCTAATTCTGCTCATAGGGTCTAGAAGCAATAACGCTGTAGTAGCAGTAGCATACCTAGCAGTCAAGTCTTGGTTTCTAAATCCCATTCTTCACGAAAAGAAACCAGGGCTCCTTGGAAAAATGAATTCAAAGACGGGGGCAGGAGAAATACAAGAT